CACACCAGAAGTCCACTGCAGGGTTTGAGCCTTCTGTATTCCCTGGTGTATTGCTGCAAGCTACCAGAAAAACAGAGATAAAAGGGAGGAGATGATTCCCCTAGAAAATAATAGAACAGCAAAGTGTTCTAATATGGCTGGCAGGTTTGCTTATCTAATGCTATTTTAAGCAATGAAAGCAGTATTTCGTCTTTGGATCAAGGTTTATACATATTCTTACAGTTGTGAGGGTTGTCAAAGTAATTGATGTACTGCCAAAACTGCAGTGAGGATACAAATAGATTCTTGTGTGGGTTAGAGTAGATCTCATGGTAATTTAGTGGCAATTGGTGCGTGTAGGAAGACTATTTAGCCCCTTGTTCTGAGGTAAAAACAGTCCATTTGTAATGTAGATCTTGAGAAATATGGATGTTACCCCTCTGAATAGAATTTATCTAAATTTATCTAAATTTATCTAATTTAGTAATTTATCTAAACTCGTATTTTGCTTAGATCGGTGGCCAAAACATTGAGGGAAGATGCAACCATTTTTTAATTTGAGTTCTTATTAATGGCCTGGACTGCATATGATAGTTATGTTTTGGCCCTTTCACATGAGCAAGGGTGTGGTCCCTGTGATCAACTGCTGATATGGATGCTTTGTGGGAAAGAGGAGAGTATTCACAGAGCTTCCTCTAGGTACCTGGCAAGGATGTGATACAGCAGGCTAACCTTCAGAACCCAGTATTCCTTGTGTCAGCAAACAGCTGGGTGATCTTTGTGGGTGGCTGGATTCTGTTTTCTGCTCTCCTTCCTGCACATCCTTGTGCTACAATGCAACTGCACAGTGCTCTTGTGGTGTGCTTTGTGGTCTCTGACCCAGACTACTCCAGATCAAGGGCTTGGCCAGAGAATAAGGTACCTCTTATTCCTGCTTCGCATCATAAGGAAAATGAGGCTCAAAGGTGAGGGAGCAGTGAACTCTCTCCAGCCCTTATCACACGGTATGGATCTCTACTGGAAACTCAGAAGTGTTTCTAGGTCCCTCACTTTAGATGCAGGAAAATGTCTTTGTAGACATGATAGAGCCATTTTGTCTTAATTTTCACTGCTCAAAGGTTGCTTCTATTTTGGGAGTTAGTGAAGGCTACTAAAGGTGTTGAATGACCATTTGTTTCACTGAATCAAAAGTCTTTTAGTTTTTTCTACTACCAAAAAGTGTAATGGTTCTCATAACACTATCCAGTTGAAATGTGTCCTTTGCTCTCTTGAAGCTGGAAAGCAAACTCTTAGATATAGGCAAGAGATTTGTGATTGCTTTCTAATAATGTGTCTTAAACTCGACACCAAGTTTCTTTATTTTGAGAAGCTTCAACTTAGGTTTCTAAAGGTGTCCCTTTTAGACGAAGGTCCCTTCCAATTAGAAATAATGAAATCTCATGATGTGTCAGAGAACCAGACTGAGAACTGGTCTAGTGCTTTGGTTTCTTTCTGTCCAATGAACAATGTCAGGTACAATAGAGACAAAAGTAGGGTAAAACTTCGAGCTTGGTAAAATATAGTCAAGAACAGGAATGGATGTAAATGACATAATAAAGATGAAAGAATTAATTTACTGTGACTTTCAGTGACTTTTTTCTGAAGATGAACTGTGTATTTTTTGCTGTTCTTGTTGCTATACAGTTTAAGAAAGTCTGCATTATGAAACTTTTTTCCCTTAAAATTTGCAAAGTAGTGGGAAATATATAATATTTTAGTTGGGAAAGCCTACCAGTCTGTTACTGCTATGATGCTCCAGTAGTTAGTCACTGGTGTTACTGATGTCATGTATATACTGGTTGATGTTTATCAGTTAGATGGTACACTGATGACTTATTTTCTTGTTTTTATTATGCATGCTTTGGCATGAATATGAGTTTTAAACTTCAAATATAGGAAAAAGTAAAAATAAAAATGATAATATTCTCCTTGGCTAGCCGGGTAACCATGTACCATCTTTTCATTTATTTATGCATTTATTTATTTATTTATTGGTGGGGACGGGGTTAGAGATGGGAAGCACTACTGTTTTAATAGTTGAACTACGTGTTTTCAGTTTTCTGTGATTTAGGTACCCTTTTCCAGTTGAGGTGGAGGCTCACTAATAGGTCATTTAAGTCTGAAAATAGATTTTCTTTTCTTATTGCTTTTGATGAACTACACAGGAATTGCCTGTGATCATCCAACGGTTGTTTGATGACTGAGAACCGCTGAAGTATCAAAATTTGTAATGGAGGGGAAATCGATTGATAAAAGTTATAAGATTCTGTCAGTAGATGGCGCAGTTAGTAAAACTATCCTGTGGAGATCTCGGCGTGAATGAACAAATTTTGAGGTTTGTGACTTTTAACAAGGTCTTTGGCTCCTGAGACAAATTAACTGGTTGGTTTGATTTAATATTTTCTTCTGTTACGGTGAATGTTGCAGGCTGGTAATCTCAGATATAGAATTTAGAAGAAACTATAACTGCTATAGTGCTCAAAACACTGAGTTTGGAAGTAAATTTGCAGTTATTCTGCTCAGTGGTTGAATGTGCTGTTAGGTTAAATCCTCTCTACCCTACAGAGTGCAGGCTAATACTATGACAAATCTAGTCTTTCCTACTTAACAAAACGTTTTGGAGTTTTTTAAGGTTACCTGCAGCTGGACCTTTTGAGACATCAGTATGCTCTGACTTGGTTGTCTTTTAATTTGGAGGTCCTCATATTTTAAGGACTAACAGTCTGTGGTTAATTTGAATGTTGTCTGAGAAATGCTGTGTTCCTAAGGTACTGTGAAAAAGTACTGTGAAAACATTCTTCAGCATGGCTAAATTGATAAGTTCAGATTTTTCATGCAGCTTGTAGAGGTTGTGCTTGGCAACATTTGCTGAGAAGGATCAGTTGCTGCAATATATTTCAAAATATTAGAGGGCACTATGAAGAGCTAAAACTTTGTCAGCATTCTGAGCTTGTTACTGATGGTAATGACGAACATCATTAAACTGAAGTTGTTGGAAGGATTTTGTTTAAGGACAGAAGTAAAAGCAGAATGTATACCTCTGAGTCAGTATAAAACTGAAAGCATAGTTGTCAGGTATGAATAGACTATTTATCGAGATGGATATGTGCTCAAATGAATGACTTTGTGATAACACAATGAAAAATTTCACACTATTTAAGAAGTTCAAGGAAATGTTTTATGATGACCTGCATCAGTCCTTTAGCCTGTGAAGCGTGCTACTGGCCATGGAACAATCAAAGGAAAACCCATTTCTCGGTTCTTGAGCACAATCTAAAAATTATAAAGATGGGATCAATAGCTGTCCAAGTACTGTGATTTTGTTTGTTTGAATAACTTTGTGGGTAGTGTTGACTATATGTTTTGGAAGGGTTGTTGACAAGGCAAGAAAAAACTGGGAATAGAAGGGAGGCGGTAAAATGAAGGGAATTTTTTTAAATCTGTCTAGAAGAACGTGTGCAACTGTCTTGATGGATTGCTTATTTTGCTCAACACTAAAGCCAGTATTTTCAAAAGCAATTATAGCAGTTGCATACATCAATTTTAGACACCTGTATTGCACTCTTTACTCTCTAGAAATGCTCAATTACTGCTTTGCCTGTCAGAAGAAGATCTGTTCTTTTAAGATCCTGCTAATTGAGCATCGAAAAATTAGGCCACTCAGTATCTCTAGTAGAATATGGTGAATTAGGCCAAGCTCGAGGAATAAATTGATTTCAATAATTTTGGCATGAAGTGGATAGGAATAAAGTACTTGTAAAACTACTGACCTGTGTTTATTTGTTTGTTTGTTTGTTTTCTTGGCTTTTGTTGTTGTTGTTGTATTGTGGGTTTTTTTGTTTGTTGTTTTGGGTTTTTTTTTTGCTTTTAGAAAATCTAACTACTTTAGAAGAGCCATCCCACTTTTTGACCCACTCACAATGTCAGAGAGAAGATGTTCAAACTAGAAAGCTTTTCATGCTTCCTCTGCATGGAATTGTCTTACATATCTCTCCAGTTAATAAATGCTGTGTTTAAATTCCAAGCAGTATACCAAGTTCTGCTGCTGTTTAACATCTCTCAAATAATCTTACATCCAGGATTCTTGGCCCCTCCTGCCAACAGAGAACACTGCATACACCCCGAGACTTTCCTAACTTGTTTGCAAGTTGCTAGGTAAAAACTTGCAATTGTGTGCTGACAATGTGAATCATGGCAAGCAGTACCTAAAATGACAGGTGAATTGCCTGTTTCCCTGTGAAGTGTTACCTCCTCTCCTCTTCTTACACTGGGATTGTAAACTTTGTGCTTCACTATATATGTCCTTTGCTTGGTGTTCTGAGGCTGGGGTTAACTCCCAGATGTTTGTCAGTGGGTTATGAACTTAATGTTCTCGGAGAATTTAGGGACTTTTTAACAAAAACCATGGTATTTCTTTTTGCGAATGTTACTTTGTGATTGTTCCAAAGATGGCAAGAGACCATGTGTTCTTAATCTTCAGTCTTCTCAGCTCGCCACAAGAAGTAGATGTGCTGTTAATATCACACAGTTCCTTTAATTAGGTAATTAGCAGTGGAATGACAGTGGAACTGTTAGCAGACAATGCTAACAAATCAGAAATGGGAAAAAATAATAGGGTTTCCAGGCCTTAGCAGTCTATCAGTTACTACAGTAATCTTTCAGTCTCAGTCCCTTGTGATATAATATCCTCAGTGGTACTGTCATGTCTATAATTCTATTCCTATCAATGAAGCTGCACAGCCTAATAGATCTGTCCCAGGTAAGCAGTTTTCACGCTGCAGAACATAGATGCTTTGCCTACTCAATGGTCCGTATCAGCTATTAAGTAATGACAATGGGCTTCTCTGAACAGCCTTTTAGCAAACAGCTTATTTCAGTTAGCTTGCATAGTGCAACAGTAATATCCCAGGGTGAGGGCTTTTTTGGTTGATGGTTGGAGTTCTTGAAAATTTAATATTCAGTGTCAATTCAAGCAATAGTGGTATCTTTATGTAGGTTTATTGGGTCAAAAATATGTCCTTACTCAACATGGTTTTATGAAATCGGTGCACAAATTGACTTGTGTCATAGTTCATCCTTCTAGTCAAAGAACACATTTATTAATCATTCAGTACATTTTGCTAGTTAAGAACACCTCTGAAGATGCACTGTTTCAGGTTCACTGGTTTAGGTTGGTTTTTTTTTTTTTTAGCTTTTTACTTTGTTTTCCAAAGAGAGAAATATTAAAATATACATTTTAATAAATGTATATTAATTGCTCAGTCTAGAAGATAAGACTCTTTTCAGAGAGCCTTCTTTATCTGATAGAGGCTAAATTCATTGGGGGTGGGGAGAGGACAGTTTGTATATTTTAGAATTAAAGTTTGAAAAACCCCCAGCATTTCTGAGAGAAGAGAGACATGAGAGGAAGAGGAAAGGCAGCTCCATTAAGTAAATCATGTTTGTTGCTTAGGAGCTATTGGACTGAGCTACTTGGCAAAGAGAAGAGTTAATTCCATGTGTGTATACAGGAGACCTAATTACACTTTTATAGTAGTGCATCCATCTGCAAACTAAACCTCTGGACCCCCTGCGTGACACCTTGTGCAAAGTCATTCACTGTGGCATGAGGTGGTGTCTTGAGGAACATCATCTCCAGGGAAAGCCATCAGAGCGTATCTTACTGGAGAACTGTAGTTGATGTCACCTTTCTGGAGGAAGTTTGGATCCAGCTGGCTCCTCAGAGTTTCCTGAAAATGGGGTCACCTCTGCGGGGATGTTTGCTGCACACCTCAGGAGAGATGCTGGATGATGGCCCGAGCCTAAGGAAGGAGCCAGGGGGAGAGGCTGCACAGGACCCAGAGCTCTATGTGGATTTTCACAAATAGTGCTTACCATGGATGAAAGACCCTGCTGATCCTGGTGAGAGGTACAGATAGTCTTGGGAAGGTGATTGCAGACAAGCCTGTTGGTATTTGCTGTGCTCTGTTCCAGCTCAGATGCTGTCTGGACCTTGGATAATGAGTGCTGTTTGCTAAGGATTTTCTTTAGTCAGCGGATGCGTGGATGGCAAAATCTCTCAGAGAACATAATAACCTGTATGACAAGAATGATAAGTAAAGGATCAGAAGCAATTTCTGACTTGTTTTGTGGCTTAAAGACATACAAAAATCTTTATCTTACACTTTGCTCTGCAAAGGATGGCCTGTGTGGATGCCCTGCTTTCCCTCTCTGTATTTCACTGTATGTGCCCTTCTGCAGTGAGTGTTGAGCACATGGGCTGGACTGGCATAGATTGAGTTTCAACAGCTGGTTATTCTGTAACACAAAATGGGGAGGGATCCATTTTCTTTAGCAGCTGCGAGAATGTCTCTTCGACAGTGCTAACAAAGTTGGGTTCATCTGCAGGACTGTGTAAGGAATTTTTCCACTGTTTTGATTCTTCTCCAAAGCCAGTCCCACTCTGTGTTGCGATGAACAGCGTGATAGCTGTATGCTGTATGCTACTGAGAAGAGCTACAGTGGCTTAATGTGCATCTCTAAGCTTGTGTGAACCTGGCTGCATGTAGCAGTGTTAGAGCTGATCTAATCCCAGGGGGCTTTACTAGCTCTAGAGTTTTTCACTGGGATGGCAAAAATAAGGGAAAATCTTGTGATGAGGGAAAATCCTTTTCCTTCTGTCTCTTTCTCTACCAACTTTATTAAATAAAACTTGTAGCTTTCAGATCTGTATATTTTAAAAAAACCCACTGCATTCTATATGTAGTATGTTGTTTCCTGTAAATGAATAATAAAAGCAGGAATTTGGAGTATGTCTAGAGTTAGTGCATATTCTGTTTTTCCTTGAGAATTTTCATTTCTACAAAAGTAAACCAAAGTTTTGTGCATAGACTTCCATATTTTAACAGAACATTTTGGTTTTTTATACCTAATTAGCTACTCCTGCTTGTCTTCCTTATCACCAACCCAAACTGCTCCTCCCACTTCAGATTAAACTTGAGAGGGGGTTGCAGTGCCAGAAATGTCAGGCTGCATCTCTTAATCACCTCAGAAAGGCAAGTTCTGTTTTTTCAAGGAGTAGGTTAGAGAATAAAGGAGCAGCAGTGTAGGGGAAAAAATAGTGGGGGCTGTTTTGGAATGGAAAATACCTGTTACGTTTATCAGCTCTTTCCTTCAGCCTTCAGAAATGCAAGCATTAATCCTGTCCCATAGTTAGCATATAGCCTATTGAATATGCAGAATATCGCCCCTCTGTTTCTGTTGGGGGTTTCCTGCCTTCCTCTCTGTGTCACTTATACTGCATAACTAAATTCTAAATTGTGTGAAATGATTACTTATTTTAAGTGGGTTGAACTAGCCATACAATACATACTGCTTTAGATATAAGTATTCCATTTTTAGGACAGACTAGATGATCTCTGGTAACTTTTCCAACACTTTGTTTCTGTCATGAGTATGAGGAAACACTGTCAGGTTTTTGTTTACACAATGTGGTTCATAGTTTTTCCCTTTGAAAAACATGAAAGCTTGTTTTTGACATTAGTTTCTTCTGTCCAAAACTTCATTGATTCTGATACATTACCTTGTCCATGTAAGAGGAAAGACTTTTGCTACCTGCTGTAACTGACTGGCAAATGATGTGCAGAAGAAAAGTAAAAATCCAGTGGGAAAGGTGGAGATGAAAGTAATGTATATCCTTATCTAAAAAGGTCTCAAAATATGTAGTTGTGCCAGAGGAGGTTTAGATTGGATATTAGGAAAAATTTCTTCCCTGAAAGAATGGTCAAACATTGGAACAGGCTGCCCAAGGAAATGGTGGGATCACCATCCCTGGAAGTGTTCAGATAATGTCTAGATGTGGTACTTGGAGGCATAGTTTAGTGGTGGACTTGCTAGAGCTGGATGAACAGTTAGACTCGATGAACCTAAAGGTCTTTTCCAACCATAAAAATTCTGGTTATTCCAACCATAATAATTCTATGATTTTATGAATTTCTTATATTCTGTACTAGTGTGTTTACAGCAACATCTATGTAGGATGCCATGTTTTGCCACCTGACTACAGTAAGGTAGGAGCTTTTGTAACCAAGCCATTTGTTAGTAGTTACAGCACAGATTTATGAGAGTAACACTTATATCTGGGGTGTGAACAAGAAACTGAAATAGCACAAAAGATGTTTCAATAACAACCCCGTCAACAGCAAAACTGAAATCCTCCCTCAGCTTTTTTACTCAGGTTGAGCAATTAGATCAGAGAAGTCAATGGCACCTTGTACTCTCAACAAAGTCCAGGAGCATCACTGTCCACCCCAGCTGGAAAGTAACATGATGGCACATTTCTTCCTGCCAGTGGTGTGTCCTTGTCAGCAGAATTGTCATCATTAGTCCTCTTCTTTTAGGTTGCTATATGTCAGGTTTTGTCCCATTTACTTGTGAAATGTATTTACCACAACCTAGTGAATACATATGGTGGCTGGAAGAGTTGCTGCTTGTTTGTATTGTGAACAGTAATGTGGTAACATAAGCAGCAATGGATGCTTCTAGGATGATAGGAGAAGTGAAATTAGCCCACAAACATTTTCTTAATCTGATTTATTTTCAATATATACATAAATAGCTAGTTCTTTATGATGTACAAAGCTGATTTGGGTGTTTCATGCAAACTACTTGACTCGAATTCCTTCTTTTATTTCTTGCTTCTGGTTTTGCCAGAAATATGAAGCCTGTGTTCTGCCTCTATAACATTAAAATTTTAAAAAGGCATGTAAAATAGTGGGTTTCTACCTATTTTTCTTTTCCTTTTCCTTTTTTTTTTTTTTTTTTTTTTTTTTTTTTGGAGGTGGATTCATTTGGTTTTTGCTGAGTCTACAGTACTGGGAAAAGTACTGCAGTACGACTTCAATCTGGCTCATACTTTTTCCAATATAAAAGATACTCACTTTGGATGGTTTTGGGGTTTTTTTGTTTGTTTGATTTGGTTTTTTTAGTCCTAGAGGAATTGATTTTCTTTCTTTCCCTCTCAGCAGATAATTTTAATTACTTAAAGAAATTTTAATATTTTTAATTTGGAGTCCACTCTAGATATTTTGGAGGATCTTGAAGTTCATGCTGAAATAATGTTATTTCATGATGGTGAAGATGCAAATTTCAGGGTTCTTTACCTCTTGTATAGAACTGTTTAATGAAAATCAACCTTTTTATTTGTTGTTTTTGAAGGATTCTGAATTTGTAGTGTCGTTGCACTTGGATTCATTGGCACTGTTGTAAAAATGAGTTTGGTGGTGCCTAGAGTGTATTCAGGAGTTTAATGTGTAATATTTTAACCTACACTGAAGGTAGGAAAAGAAGAAAAGTTGGACTACTAGGTTTATACTGCAGACAGAACCCATTGAGTTTTAATGAGTTATCTCAAGCATGAAAGGGAACAAAGACAGATCCAAAGAAGTAAGATTTTATCATCGTAGCAGAAAATAGGAGCCATATAACCTTCGTTTTGATCCTAAAGAAAGATGTCAGGATGTTGTTTTAATATTATTGGAAGGTGAAACAATGGAGTCCATGTTGGAAGATGTAGTAATGTTTGAGGAGTTAACTGTTGATCTCAAATGTACTTATGCTGGCAAAGATGATTATGCATGAGCAAAGGTGATGAAGGATATATGTAATCTTATACTTGCACAATAGGATCATGAGGAAAGTACTGACCTTGCCTACTTTGTGCTTACAGCATATCATTAAGCAGATCTTTAACACTTTTTATTTAGACTTTTTTGTCTGCTTTTTTGTTGTGCAAGACATAACGATTTATGATTAGCTAGTGTTCATAATAATTTGGAAGAGGTGTTGGGGGGAAGAGAAGCTACAGGCTCAGGATTGATAGAATGCTTGTCTAATCAGCAATGCAGTTACACTAACTCTCCCGAGAAGACCTCATTTTTGCAGCAAAGCTTATTTACTTCACACAGTACTCTTCTGTATCTCCTATTAATAGGTCAAGAGAAAGTAGATAGTCAAAATACAACTTCAAGAATAAGACAGTAGAGACCTATTGTCTAACTATTTTTCTGTGATAGCCCTCAAGTGTGGCACGTGCTCCCCATGTAAGTAAAACAGGCCAAACAGCAAATGTGCAAAGTGTGCAGCAAAGTCCCTCTTGGCAGGAAACTTGAGGGCAGCGATAAACTGGAAGGTAAAAAGATGTTAGTTTTGGCTAAAATGTACTTGGTAATGACTTCGAGAAGAACATCCTGACTTTTTCCCCCTGCCCCGGTTCTGATCTCCTACCTGCTAATGTGACATCTGTCAGAGTTCTGCCAATCAACTGACATGGTTAGACATCATTGTGTCTCTGCTTGAGAAATGTCTTTTTCCCCATGTCCCAGGAAAGCCTGAAAAGGGAATGTATGAGGCAAAAAGACAAAACTTGATAACTCTTCGAGAGACCATGCAGAAAGAAGTGGATTCCTTTTCACAGTATTCAAATTTGTGCTTTGATTCAGAAATACAAGTTATCCCTTAAGATAGTTTCTTTGATTTTGGTTTTTCTGGGTTTTATTTTTGGTGCTAATTTGGTTAGTGTTTGTTTTAGTTGGGGTTTGTTTGGCTTTTTTTTTGCTTTTTAAAATAAATGCATTACAAAAATCCCTTAGGAATAATGATGAGTACTTAATGTTCTTGCAATTTTGGCAGTTTTTAAGGGACTTACTTCACTATAGATTTTAGACCTTATCCATAACCACGTAGGTGGCTTTTCGCCTCAGATAGACACATCTGAGGAGGTGTCTGACAGCAGCATCATATTGAATCCTTGATTTGTCACATCTCTTAGACCTGTTCTTAAGTCTTCCTGGGTCACTTCAGGGACCTGAGGGTGCCCTTAACCATCTTCCTGAAGGAGTTTGCTCTAAAGGCAGGCCTGAAACCTTAAAACTCTATTTTTTTATTTTTATTTTTATTTTTTTTAATTTTCTTTCCCCACTGCTAAAAGGGTGGTGAACCTTGGTCTTTCCAGTCTTTATTCTCCAGAGTTTTGGCAAGCTTCCTTACCGCAAGCTCATTTGCAAGCATTGCACATCCAGTGACCAAAAAAAAATACTACTTGACCAATCATGAATAAGCAATATAGTCTACATGGTCATGGGCAAATATTTCACAGAAGGATCTGTGTGAACAAATATATGAAAAGGCCATTGTTTAAATAGTTTCCAGTGAGATATGAAAAGACATCAAGGGCAGCTCTATCACTGAAGAGAGACTGAACTGGCTCTGTTCGATCATTGGTTAAAGTCTGGGTTTGTTTGTGTCTTGATATTTGCTTTATAAATGCTCTGTCCCTATGAATATATTTGGTATCCTCTAGAAAGCAGCTTAAATTGTGTGCATAGAGGTGCAGTCCAAAACTCCTGATGGAGCACTTAAGGATTGAAGAGATTTGTATTCTGAATAAGAAGATCCTCATTTGTGTGTATAGACTAATATCATGGTATGCTTGGCGACTGCATGGTTGGTGTGGGGCTTGTTTTTGTTTTGATGGGTCCAGTGGTAGAATAAGATATTTGGTAGCTGGTTGGATGAGTTTATTTAAACCAGTGGATACTTAGTGCTAGTAACGGAGTGTTTTAAAAGGCAAAACACCAGCATTGCAGCACTTTTTCTTGCCTGTCATGGACAAACTCCCACAATTCTTAAGTAAAATTCTATTGCTAAAAAAAAATAATTGTACTTGAACAAGCATTGCAGCATTTGATGCAGGAATAGAAATGTGGTAGTTTGTTGCTAACCGCAGTGTGTGGCCATGGTAAGAAGTAGGTGGGGTGTAGTCATCTGACACACCCCATAGAAAATATGTTGTAATGAAGTCGGTCGTGGCTGCAGAAAACTGCACATCTCTTACGCCAGGTTCAAGAGCAGCTATATTCTGCCTTCCTTTTTCTGTGTTGTCTTTGATGCAGAGTCTGCAGAATGAAAAGCTGCTTTGGACACCTTCCAGAAAGTTATTGAAATCAGTCTTCAGTAACTGTATTGGTTTTTACTGTGTTCAAGGTCACTGAGCTGCATGAGCAGACAGCCCTGTAAAAAACAGGATTTGAGGATTTTAAATGGTGTCTTTTTACAGTTTGAATAAATAAGCCATATAAAAAATATGCTATACATACAGTATTTACTACTTTTGGCCTTATCTTCTGCCTTTTTTTTCTCTCCAGCTGTGTTCCTGCTGGTCAGTTTTGATATTAGTAGCAGCTTTCCAACATATATCATGTCAAAGCTCTGAAGAGAAGGAACATACGGTTGCCCCACAACTTCTGGCACTTACAGTTACAATTACACTGATCAATATAAGTGCATATTTGTATTGAAAGTGCACCTTTCAAACAGGGTGGTGATTTGTATTTATATACAAAGGAGATGGTAGTTTTGAATAAAAGTGGTTGATATTTTCCTGGTGAAGTATTGTTCTCACCAGAAACAAAATCAGTATGTCAAAAATTGACTCCTCTCTATCTAAAACTTCATGATAGTTATGTTTGTGGTGAGCTTTTTGAGCATTTGAGTAAACTGGAATTTCTGGGTTAAAAAGGATGGGCAGATACCAAAGTCACTTTTACTATGCCTACCATAGCATTCTTTTCACCACAGTGTGAAGCCTGGAAGTAAGTGTTAAAACACCAAGATATAATTTGTTTTGGGGTGGATCTCTTGTTTCTTCTCTTGAAGCATTTTTCTTCATGCTCATACTGATGCAGACATTCAGTAATTGAACCTGTGAGGAGTTCAGAAGGGAGAGGTAGAAGTAATTTCTTCCCAGTTGTGTTTGCTTTCTGTTTTGGGAGTAGGTCATGGATGTTTAGAGCAATAGCGTCAGGATAGCTTGCTGAATCTCAGATACCTGTAGGAGGGGCAATTCTTGCAGAGTTCTTTAGGCTGCTCACTGGGATTGAGATGTGTCTTTAATTTACTTACACTGGTATGAATAATGGTGAAGGACAATACTTTATAGAAAATAGCTTGTAACTAAGGTAGAGTAGAACTTTTTAAAAACAGTATCTCAGTGTAAATGCCTGGAGGAGGACTTGAGAACCTGCAACCTATGGAGAACTTATGGCCTACAATTTAATTTCTTATGACCAAATGCCAAATATTTACTTTTTCACTTGGCTTTCTTCCCCCCCCAGCCCCCAGTTACTGGATATTGCTAAAGTCAGAATAGCTGGCCAAAGAAGCTTCAAAGCTGTAGTTATTCTTCAGCAAGGGTAAAGACATACAACCTTTATTGTAGTATTTCTGTGAGCTGTATATGAGTATGTGTGGTCTGTTTTATTCCCAGAAAACCACAGGGCTGACCCATACCTCCCTCACAGTATCTTTTCATAAGGGAAATTTTTCCAAGTGTACTTACCTGACTGGGTGCCTTCTGACCCATACCTCCCTCACAGTATCTTTTCATAAGGGAAATTTTTCCAAGTGTACTTACCTGACTGGGTGCCTTCAGTATAACAGACTTATTAATCACTAAACCAGCATAAAACTTGTAAGTGCAGCTGCTGCAGAAATGGACAGTGAGGAAACACAAAAACTGTGCCTGAAGACAGAAGAATAAATAACGGCACAGTGATAATTGCATCCTGTAAGGTATTGCAATGTGGTAGTCATCAGAAACCTATTCACTGTGTCTGCCTTTCTCTCCCTCAGTGATGAGCTTCCTTCATCCCTCCATGGCTAGACTGCCTGCAACCTTTTAGAGCAGTTCTCTGGATTATGGCTTAAATGTTAGGAGTAATTAGATAAAACATTTCTGTAAATGCCTGTGGAAAGAAATACATTTATTACCTTAGTTGAATTCTGGCCAAACTTAGGTTTTCCATACATAAGTAATTGAATGAGCAGATAAACAGTTGGGTAAAGTAATTTTGCTTTATCTACCTCCAGATAGGACAAAAGGTAACAAACAAAATAACTAAGGAATCGGAAATCTGTCACTCCAACATTGGCTTGTTTAATCATGGTCAAATATCTTACCCTCTGCACAAACTGCTGAGCACTCTTTTCTTGTGTCTTACCTTGTCAGGCTGAGGAGCCCTTCTAGAGAAAGGTCACACTTTTAGCTGATGGTAGGTTGTTGCCGACATGACTCAGGGCAGGACGAAATCCTAATGCATGTATCTTCAGATGTCAGCTGGCATTCTCTGTAGGTGTCCAAGGAATGGGAGATCAGCAGTTCCAAATCAAACTGATGTGCACCGTGGCATACTGGCCGCTTGTATTTGATAAGTGACACACCTTATGTCTGAAGCTTGGAATCTGACTGAGGGTTAGTGGTGGCTTACAACAATTCTGCTTTAAGAGTTGTATAAGAGTTATACAACTGAATATATATTACAAGCAAAAATATGAAATCAGAAATCAAAGTTTTGAAATTGAGTGAATCACAGGAATTAGGGCAAGCTCAAATGACTAAGCAAAGCTATTGAATTTGATGCTCCATCAAGATGTGAGAGCATATTTGGTGTGATTGTGACTCAGCACTTGCTGGTGAGTCATTCCTCATCCCTGGGACCTCTGTGCTGTTGGTTTTCTGGCTGAAAAAGAAAAGAGGAGTGGGAAGAAGTTTAAACCTACATAGAAAGTTTAAACTTCATGAATACAAAAGAGAGGGGGAAGTTTTATCCCCACTTGGATTATTTTTCTTGAAAGACTATTTTTAACTTTTGAATATGGTATTTTCAGTGGAATGAGATGACTTTTCCCAGCTTTATTTTTAGTGGAGGTTTCCAGAAAGTTAATTTGTGGCTATTTTGAACTATTAAAAGAAACATTTAAAGCAATGCAATTTTGTTTGTCCATGGCTCTTTCACACAGATGAGTTTAAAATGCTTCATACCAATAGCTCAGTTGTGAGAAGACAGTACTACTGGAGGGGGATTGAAATCAATAGTTAGAAACAGGAGGATAAAGGTCTGAGAATATACAAACATTTAATGAAATACATATATGTAGTAGAAACTGCAGAACAAGAAGTCTTGTAAGAAGTGACAATATCCTGAGAAGGTGAGGGACTGAGGGGAAATGAGAGTCAAAAAGCAGTGAAATCCTCACCTGAACTCTGACAGTCTGTGTTCATCATATAACAGGGCAGTAATGGAATGAAAGTACCATGGTATGGGTTCTATTGCCTGTATCCAGCCAGAGCAAGGGTGCTCCTGTTCAGCCATAGTTATGGTAAGGATGACAGTGTTAATCTTTTTTGTGAAGTTTCTAACTCAGCTATTAGTAGAGGAGAGTTTGTTTGGGGGGATGATTGGGTGTGTTGGTGTGTTAACCTGTTGTACTAGATCTGGAGATCAGGAAGTGTTAACCTGTTGTACTAGATCTGGAGATCAGGAAGGAAAATTTTTTTTTTTCCTGTTCTATTTTCCAAGTTTGGCAGAGACCATGGGGAGGTTGTAGTTTGTGTTGTAGTGTACAACATGGTCAGCTGCTTGGGAGCACCTGGGGATCCCAAGTAACAAGTTCTTTGCACTCCCGCAGGGCCAAGGCTATGGATTTATTTTTTTTTTTACTTCTTCCTGTGTCAAATTGAAGTTGTATCTTTTGACCCTTTTACTGCAAGTCTCAAAATATCATGACCCATTCCTACCCATGACTATGGTACTAGCTATATGTATAAATTATGTATAGATTATATTGATGCCTTAAGCCCCTAATAGTTTTTTATTTTTCTAATATTTGTAAGCCTTATAAGTTTTATAAGTAGTAAAAGTAGATTTTAAAAGCAGCATCTGCCACTCCCTTTCCCTGTAGTACAAATAGTTTACACATTCCTTAACCCTCTTACCCCATTCTATGCACCCCATATCACTCCTACCCCTGAATCCAGTAGAAATGTTTAGTCTTTTGTCAAGGCAAGGCCCAGACTGTTTGGAAAATGCTTGTATCTTGACCTAAACCGCAGAACACAGTCAAGAATTAGGTGACTATGTACCCTTTGTGCTCTGAAGATGGTGAAGGTGATGAAGTAAAAGCCCCCAGACCCATTTCTCAGGGGGTGGACCCGGGACGGTCCAGAGTAAAGGCCACAGGGTGGACACATTTGGGATTGGATGGATGGTGTTATAAAATGTAACCTCTTGGGCACAGCGGGCACACACGTCGTAACATCTTTTGCCTTGGCACAATAAACCCTTTCCTTTTCTCACCCCTAATTAACTGCTCCAGAGATTTTTTAGCACCAACACATCTCCCACGGCATCAATATATGTAAAGAATTTCCAGAAGCAGCATCAATTCCAAAAAGTTTGGTCTTTCTGAATGCAGCTCTGTAAACCATTGCTGGAGTTAATCTGCTGTAAAATACCTTCAGTGTCAGATTATACTGTTTTTTTAAGCACAGAACATGACAGAATCACTGAATGTGGCAAAGAGACTGTCATATGTGCTCATCGCCTATTTTGATCATCCAGACTTTAAGTTTGGTTTTCAGATGTAAGCGCCTCCAAGGGATTTGCAAATCTCTGATGGGCATGTAGTTTGGTACATTAGGTACATAAACAAGACAATGTCTCCACTGGAAGCTTTGACTGTCTGGCAATGTTACATTAAGAAACTTAAAAGAAGATGATTAGGGACAGACAAGGCCTGTGAAATACATCTGGAGGATTTAACAAATGAGAACAGTGATTTTTAAGGAATACATAATTCTATTCTCATACATACTCTTTCACGAGTATGGGGACTTATCACTGATATTTGATTTATATTTAAAAGTGCATCATATTTCTTATGCTTGTGCTTTTATTGCATATGGTTGATACTCTTCCAGATCATTAGGTAATTATGTTTCAGTGATGACTGAGCTAATGGGAACTCTGAAGAAATAGATATATGGCAAAGCCCATAAGACCTGATTCAAAAAAATCTTTTACTTCAAAAAACCCATAATTAGTTTTATGCAAATTATAGTGGAAGATAGCTTAGGATAAAACAGGAATAAACAAAGGAAGGTCCCAATTTAATACTTTCTTTCATCCTTATTTTGTTACAGCACATGAGTTCTGTGATGTCTCTGGCAGAAGAACATCTGTGTGCTACTGTGAGCCCCTCTACTACACCCTCAGAAGATGCTGATGTCAGACTTTCGAATGAGATCGTGTAATGTTCTGGAGGGTCTACTTCAAAATGTTATGTAAGGTTTTAGAATTTAAGGGCTATTGAAAGTAACTTTCAATATCTGTACTTGCAATGAAACACAAGTAGCGAAGTAATACTTTAGTAGGTTCCTTTATTGTTTCCCTCCTCAAAATTACGATAACAAAGCAGTTCAACTTCATACACTACAGGGTACTGAGTATATTGTGTATTTTACTAAAAATGACCAGAGAGAACAGTTCTGATTTTGATTTTTTTGGGGGGATCACAGGCTTTGTCCTTTTTTTCCCACATTAGAAGAAAAGTGGGCTGTTTCGATAATATTGTACAATAAAATTGCACAGAAGTTGCCCATTTTTTCAATTTTGAAAGGCCACGATTTTCATTTGAGCTGCTTTAGCTGGAAACTAATCTCACCACATCTTGGATATCTTCCAGGTGAAGACATTGACCTATTTCACTGGAAATGTTCTAATTAGTTCTTGTTCCAGCTTCAGTATCCTTTAAAACCAGAACAAAGCAGCAAACTTCTAGCAAATCTTAGCCAACAAAGATACCGTGTGCAAAGGATTAGACCCAAGGACCCTAAGAAGCAGGGGTGTAGGCAGGGTTTAGGCCAGAACCAGTTTAGCCTAGAAGTCCTGTTGGTTTGACCAAGGTATTTGTCAGTTCTTCTTGGTTGCTTGTCTAGGAATATCCCCAAAATCAAAGCACTGTGATATTATTTATTACTGAAAATTCCTCAATCTATCACTGTTCTGCATGGCTTCTTCACTTTAGAAGTGTTTCTGTTGACCTGAAGCCAGTGTGAAAATACTTTCACAGCTGTTTTGCTTAATATGGTTTTATTCAGATTTTAATGGTACAGAAGCTATTTCAATATTAGATACAAAACATTAGGAAATGTGAAAGAGACACTGAGTTTTCTGGTCAGAAAATGGTTTCGTTCTTCCAAAAGAGACCAACCTCAGAAGTAACCTTTTCTATGTCTTTCATTGTTTCTGCTTGCGAAATAGTAACTGCTCCGTAATAAGGAGTTCCTGTTCCTGTTTGAGGGGCAAACATGAGGAAAAAAATGAAGCCATATTTGCCCCCTCCACTTCTTACTTCCAAGTAAATAGTTATTCTTTTATTAGTGTTTTAACTATTCTCCACATGAAAGACAAGGGAAGAGGAGGGGTGATATTTGAAAAAAGCACAGTTTGGAGGGTTTTTTTGTTTACATTTTCCTGACTTGTTGACTTCATCTATCTGCTGCAGATGTCCTTGTAAGACTAGGATAGAAGATGAGAGATGCTATTTAGACTGCTAGAAGAGAATGGACTATTTTTAGGATTTTCTTAAAGGATGATGGATTTTTTTCACTGGGTAAAGGCCATGTAGGTGTTACTATTCCCTTTCCACCATTCACCAGGTGAATCAGAGTCCAACTATGCATTTCTGCATATGCCTGAACTAGTGGTGCTTGGGGGCTCTAAGAATAATTGTGATGTAATGATGCACTGTGAATGAGCTTTCCTGTGGCATTATTCATTTTTTCCTGGAGGACATCTTGAAGCTTTATGATTTTTTGGTGTCCTTTTTTACATTACTGCACTAATAAAATGGATGTAAAAAATGAGTGTGTGTTATTTGTCTCTCTTCCACTTTTAAGGTGTTAGACCACTACTGTTCCACTTGCTTCTGAGAAGTGTTGAAAATATGGTAAAGATGGAAACTGTTCCATCAAATATAATACAGTCCAGTTATGTGATGATCTTTGTAATTTTATTTTTCTGTGTTCTTTTTCACCCTAGAAAAGAGGAGACTGAGGGGAGACCTCATTGCAGTGTACAACTTCCTCGTGAGGGGAAGAGGAGGGGTAGACGCTCTCTGGTGACCAGTGACAGAATCCAAAGAAATGGCCTGAAGTTGTGTCAGAGAAGGTTTGGGTTGGATATTAGGAAAAGGTTCTTCCCCCAGAGGATGGTTGGGTCCTGGAAGAGGCTCCCCAGGGAAGCGGTCACAGCACCAAGCCTGACAGAGTTCAAGAAGCATTTGGACAATACTCTCAGGCACAGGCTATTCTGTGATTCTATATTTCAAATTAAATTAACTCTTCGTTTCAGATTATTTGCTAAGTTTCGAGATTGTGATGACTTTGCTTTTGTACC